CGGGCACGTGTCCGGCTGCAGGCCGTGGGAGGGCAGTGCTCCCCCGCAGTCCTCGGGCGCTGACCTTTCACGTTTAGGAGGTGCCAACAGGTGCCCGTGCCCGGTCGGCCGCGAGCGCGGCTGTTCCTGCCCGTTGGTGCCCGGAATTCCGCGATCGGCGGGGACAGAGGGGCTGCGCGGCCCCGACAGGGGCGGATTTATGGGGCAGCGCGTTCCGAGCGCGGCTGGGGCGGAGCGTGGGCAGGGAGAGCGCGGGGGACGTGCGCGGCTCCGGCTCCGGGAAAAAGCGCTTTTATGGGGTGCCTTGCCCGGGGGAAAAGGGCTTTTATGGGATGCCTTGCTCCGGGGAAAAGCACTTTTATGGGGTCCCTTGCTCCGGGGAAAAGGGCTTTTATGGGGTGCCTTGCTCCGTGGAAAAGCACTTTTATGGGATGTTTTGCTCCAGGGAAAAGCGCTTTTATGGGGTTCCTTGCTCCGGGGAAAAGGGCGTTTATGGGGTGCCTTGCTCTTGGATTAGCAGCTCGGGAGTCTCTCTGTGGGAAGACACCTTTATTTGGGGCAAGGGGGGTGGATTTTTCGGTGCTCTGGATTTTTCCACACCAACCTCTGCTGCGTTTTCCCAGAATTTTTTCCCTGCTCCACACCAACCTCTGCTGTGTTTTCCCAGAATTTTTTTCCACTCCACACCAACCTCTGCTGTGTTTTCCCAAAATTTTTTCCCACTCCACACCAAACTCTGATGCGTTTTCCCAGAATTTTTTCCCACTCCACACCAAACTCTGCTGTGTTTTCCCAGAATTTTTTCCCATTCCACACCAACTCCTGCTGTGTTTTCCCAGAATTTTTTCCCATTCCACACCAACTCCTGCTGTGTTTTCCCAGAATTTTTTCCCATTCCACACCAACCCCTGCTGTGTTTTCCCATAATTTTTTCCCATTCCACACCCACCTCTGCTGCGTTTTGCCAGAATTTTTTCCCCACTCCAAACCAATCCCATCCCTTTTCCCCTGTTTTCTCGGTAACCAGTTTGGGGCTCAGTAACCAGCTCGGGCTTTGTTAACCCATTTGAGCCCCAGTAATTGGTTCAGGCTCCATCAACTGGTTCAGGTTTTGTTAACACGTTCGGGCCCTGATAATCTGTTTGGGCTTTTTTAACCGGTTTGGGCC